GTATGAACGTCAAAATTTGGGTCTCTGTAATAAGTCCCTTTACTAGAATTTTTCATTTGTTCTTCTTCTCTTATTAATCGCTCATATCTAATGACATTCGCACTCAACTGGAAAAGGTCAGGAAATTCCTTGTCCTGGAACTTCTTTTTTAAATCAAAGCTCAAGCAGCCTTGTGCGATCTTGACAAATTCTTTTTGGGCAGAGGTACAAAACACTTGCTTCTTGCTGTTTTGAACCTTTGGAGAAAACTTTCTGCCCATTCATTTGGCATTTGACGTAGATTGGCCAAATCAGCCAAAGTGACTTCAGATTCAGTTTTATAAAACTGAGCATGAAACAATTGTTCCAGTTGTTGCCATATTTAAACAGAGTTCGCTCGCAAGTTGATGAACCAGGAGAAAGCAACTCCTGTTAACGAACTAGGGAAAAGTCTCATTTTATGGTAATCGGTTACATCACCACTTTGCAACGTGAATCGCCCTATGTGTTCTAGAGTAGACACCTCTCCTAAACCAGTAAACAGTGAGAATTCTGGCACTTTGTACCCTCTAGGCCATGGATATGCTTGGTCTACCCAATCAGGATATGGCTTTGTATACGTCGGCCTAATGACAGGACGCACCCCAAAGGCCATCTGATCCTGCACGATTTCCATAATCTGGTTCCTCAACATGACATTGGGATCATATGGAATTCCTACAGGCTGATTAACCGGTTGATTTGCATGAGGTCTGATGTTTGGTCCTTGATTGGCAACAAAATTGCCATAATTAGGTCCATTACCGTTATCCTGGACATCTGTTCCCTCATTACCACGTGAAATGTTCTGTCCATTGTTTAGGACATTATCTCTCACGTTTGAATTACCCTCCAAGTTAGGCATGCCACTACCATTATTTTGATTTGGCACTGTAGTACCTCCTTGGTTTGAAGTAAAGGGACCAGAAAGCGATTCCACCCCTTGATTCGGATTTAGGACAGAGGGACTATGTCCCACAATTGTCCTGGTTTGAAAGTGGTTTGTAAGAGGTATAGCCGGTTGACATATTTGGCCTACTACCTTATTCATTGTTTCGTTTAACGTCTTTAGCTGTTTGGCCATATTGTCATAGTGTGCATTTCCATTTTGTGTTAATCTTTCCATATTATGAATACTTCGAAGATTTACCTGTTCAACGACGTCTTGCGTGAGTTCTCCAAGCAATGCACGCATGGTTCGAGGATTCAACTCCGTCATTGGTTCGTAACGACTGTTACTGCTCTGATTTTGTCCATCTGTTCGTGGAGAGGCATGCTGCTCCTCATATCGCTCGATTACAGACTGGATTCCTCCCTGACTTGCTCCTTCCTTGTCAGATCTCTGAGGCATATTGTTTCACCTTTTGTATTTGCAACACCTAACACCACTGTCCCACCGGGCGTGCCAAATTGTTTCGCGCGGGCTAAGTCGCTAACAATTAAAAAGGATCAGACGATTGTGTAAGGGACGAAACCTCTTGAGACAAAGTCCCAAAAATGGGTGTTCTTTTATTGGCGATGAACTCTACAATTGGGAATGAAAAACAACGTGCCTACAAGGGGCGCAAGCACACGAGTTACAGAAAGAAAAATGTTTAAGTCTAAAAGCTAAGGAAATGAAAATTACATATTCTCTGTTCGAGAGTTTTGGATTCGATCTTTTGCTTCTGCGTCCTTTCTCCCTTTTATACCTCATAGACGATCTCTTTGTGATTAACTACCCTAAAAACTGCTTGATTGTCCTATAACTACCCACTTTCTTTGTAGTGGCCATTTGTCATGAAACTGCCTTTTAACTGCTGCCATTATCTTTCATCGTTCAACTGCTTTCGATTGAATTCCTGGAGTCGTGGAACGTGATAAGGCTACTTTAACAACTGCCTTGATAACTGCATTCCTTGATAACCACGATGCGTTATATTTGTTGATACCTTGGGCGACTTGAAGGTTTGGGCGAGAGTAGAATAACAGCTCTGGGCGACCGTATGACACTCCATTCGTTCAGATTCTGGGCGACTTGCAAACTTGGGCGATGGCGTTACCGCATTCTTGGGCCCCTTATTTGGGCCTTCACCTTGATTCGTTCGATTGGACTTCGTTCTTTGGGCTATCCGATTTGGGGATCCTTCAATTGGGCTTTACTCCTTGGGCTGTTCGATTTAGGCTGAATTTTTATGTGTCAACAAGCACAGAGTATTTGAGGTGAGAAATGCCAATAGAATTATTCGAGCAACAATTTCAAATTCGAAAATATTACGAAATTTACTGTCACAAAGCAATGTACACTTTGGATATCAAACTAACTTTAGGTGTGGCATCTGCACCTAGCTGTGTTATGTACTTAGAACACTTTTACTAGCATGAATTTACGTGGCTAATTGTAGTTACAAGAATATGGTTCCACGGAATAAAGTATGCACACCCATCTTCTTCTTCTAGACTTTCTTCGGGTTACTTGTACTTAACATTAGTCTATATTATATTGTTCGATAAATAAATATATATTTCGACTTTATTGAACAGTGTAACAGTGATCTCACTGTCATATAAACTAATGTTAAGCATCATCGTTACTAGATAGCGTTATTCTATTTCTCACAAACTAGATTCAAGGCTCTACACTCGTTGCTAGAAAGCTTCCTACAAGTTTCAAAGATATTTTACCCTGTTGTCATACTAGACACAAGCCTCAATAAGATTCAAACTCAATCTATAACAGAAAATTCTCATTTTCTCATTCAAATCGGTTTGAATTTGAAAATCTGTGAGCCGGTCGATACATGCCCATAAAATGTGCCTAAGCCCATGGCCGATTGTGGATCTGTTCACCAACCACTTTTATTTGATGATCCTAAGGGAGTTATGTTTGTTAGGTCCACCCAATTTGACACTTACTCATGATGTTGAATATACACTTGTTCATTACTAAATGTGTAGGTGTTCAATTGAGAATTTTATTAGAAAAGAAAAAATGAAAGAATTTGTATTTATTTTTTTTATCGTTGAATTTGCATTATTTTTCTCTCATAAAAGGAAAAGTAACAGACTAGTTGCATCAATATGATGTTGTTAAAAGTAATTGATTAAAGATAATATAAAAAAAAATGATGAAAATCATGAAACTCTTATGTATCTTTAACATTCTTTATTCGTAATCATAGTTGGAGTCACATTTACATTTCAATTCTCGCACATAACTAATCGTTTCTCTATAACTACGACTTATGAAATATGATTCATCTCATTAAATTTTATTGCCCCACGTCATGTTCACCAAACTATTGTTATTCTTTTTTTCTTGCTATTCTCTCGAAACCATCTAAAACTTATTTTAAGAGAGTTGGTCGATTTAAAAACACCAGTCTATTGACTTAGTTAAGAAAATTTAAAACGATTTATTTGATCTTAGCTATAAAATCAGTAAAAGTTGATTGTAATTGTCAACTTTCTTGCACAAATCAAAGAAAAATTTCGTTCATGGTCCCACTTGTCATGTAAGGAAACTTATAAAGAGATTATAAACGGATGAAACATCATGTTTTAAGATAGAGAATTGATTCCAACACTAACTAAATTTTCTAAACTTTCACTGTACATGCATATATTCTTTGTGACGCCTCTTGAACGACATATTAATATAAATAAACATGACGTTCTAACCGATTTAGCGCGATTCTTATAACAATAAATATACGATAATATGAATAAATATGCAAAAAATCGTGTAATTTAATAAAACTCAACCACGTCCAATTTAATATCTTCATTGGTAGGCATCAAGTCCTTGTTTGGCTCACTCATAATACACAAGAAGAAGAAGAAATCTCAGGGTGCCACGTATGCAAATGTAATGATCCCAAGATTTGACACGTGGCATTATATTATTGAAAAATGGTGATGATGTTGACCTTCCACTTTCCCAATGACACCAAAAAAGAAGTAAAAGTAGATAAGCTCAAAACCAGAGGAAATAAGATGCCACCATTGCGACGCTCATCCTCTACTTAATAAGCCCACCCAATATTGAACACAAGCATTAAACGCACCCTTACCCCCACGCAATCCCAAATCTTTCTAGATTTTTTAGTCAATTTACAGAATCAAGAATCAAATTTTGGCACACCGACAGTGCTAGACTCAAGAATCAAATTTTGACACACCGACAGTGCTACTCTGATGAACTGAGAATTTTACAAGAGAGTTTTTTTATGGCGATTTCCGATGCGGTGGTGGGGAACCTGACGACGCTGTACCTGGTGGTGATAGTGGCGATGAAGGCGTATGGACTGGCGGCGGGGCGGAGCTTCAGCAGTGGATATGTGCTGATTTTGTCAACAATTGTAGTGGGCTTAATCTTGGTTGCGAGTCTGACGTGGGACGTTTCCCGGAAAGCCACGTATGCATTGACACGCGATCATGGCCATGAAATGTGCCGCGGGGGCATCTGCTGGCACGGCGTCGCTGTTAAATCACCGGCGTCTCAGGTCCGGTTCCGGCTACCTCAGCGGCATATACAATGAACCCCAGAACTCTTCCAATGTGTTTTGAGATCAACCAATCCAATACTATTTACCCTTAGTATGGTACAGATCAAAAAAAAAAAAGTTGCATAGTCGAAATAGGGTTTAATTTTCTGCTTTTTGCTCCTGTCTCGTGTAACTATACATGCAATTTTAATTTTCAGGATTGAATTAGAGATATATGTAATCGTGTATACATACTAATGCTGTCTGTAAAACTTTAATGTCTGTGTAGCTTACGAAGTTGGATGTATTTTTGGGTTTCCTTTTCTTTGTTAACGTCAATTTAATTCATGAATTGTTCTTTAACTGAAATAATTATTTTTGAGATGGTTTTTAAATAATAGGCAACAGTAATAAATACGAGATGCAAGAGCCTTAAAATGTTAGAAATTGAAGTCGAGTTATACATGTGGTAACGGTAGGGTAAAGCTAACCTGTCCAAAATATATGCCATTTGAAAAGACACAGTAAGAGACAACAAAAAATAAATTCTCTTTCCCAAGAAAAATGGATTTTAATACCATTTTTTTTTTTTCCTCTCTCTCTCTGTTCTCTCTCTCTCTCTCTCTACTGAAGTCGTTAAATATACATTTTAGTGGCAGAGACGTCTAAAAGGATTAGATAATACTGGGAACGGACAAAACATTAGATGAACAGATTAAAAAGCTATCACAGGATGCAGTTCCACAATTTTCTACATCTGTATGAATTCAATACATAGATCACATATAAGTAAGTACCGTAAATTGCACTTATATATATAAAGATCACATATAAGTTTCCTGTGATTGTGAAGTGCCTTCTACAACATAAGGACCAAGGACCAAAGAAATTAGACACACTTGAAAGCAATAAAACCTAGGATTATATTCTTCTCTGCATAAATAATGTAAAGAATCTAATCACACCCACAATTCCTATCATTATTCAGATTCTGTAAACCTCTCTCCAACTTGGGTTAAATATAGCTGTAAAACCATTACCCTGTTCTAATTGCTGCGAATCTCATGAACAAGAAAGGAAGCCCGTCTAAATTACCGCTGTTTCCATGGTGGTGTGTAATGTTTGAATGGGTAATATTCCCACCCAACATCTGGTTCTTTTCGTTTCTCACCAACTGAACTGATGGAAGGTTGGGGATAGTACCTCAACTGCTCGTCAGTTGATCTGAATGAAGCTGAATTGGACAAGAGTCCCAAGCCTGTAGGGCCCCTACTTCCACCTTCCAACAGCAGCCTGGAGTCAAGATCAAAACTGCCCTGCGACGGCAAGACCCCATTTGAAAGAGTTGAGGAAGTCATACTTATGAGGAATGGTGGCTGAGAAAATGCAGGCGGTAGAGCTGATGCAGAGCCCACAATCTGAGGAACAACAGGTGTTCCTCTAGAATCCACCATGTAAGGAATGGGGCCAGCAGTCCCATACAATGTGGGGAAAGGCATAGCATTACTTGGTGAAATGCCATTGTACTTGTATAAGGTAGAAGGGGCATATGGAGGTGCAGATCCCATCCCAAGAAAACTACTGGTTCTCGCCAAGTTAACATCAAATTCAAGCTCTGGAGTTCTGCCATTTGGCAAGGGTAGAGTATGAGGAACGAAATCTCTACGCTTGACCACCACTCTTGTGCCCATAATAGATATTACAGACTCGTCTGACTTTAAATCTCCAGAAGCATTTAAATTTTGAGGTGACTTAGTTAAATGGGAATGATCTGAATAATCATTGAGAAAAGACGGTTGGTCATTAAGATCAATATTCCTCAAAGAAGATTGCTTCAATGACGATGAAGGAGAAAGAGTCTGACTCTGATTGCCATTTCTCTTGGGAAAGATCTGTCCGTTGATCTTCCAATCTGATGGAACATCACCATCATCACTTGCTCTATTAAGATCCAACTCAAGACGTTCTGATCTTGAGTTTGCCTCCACTGAAGATTCAACAGAAAGAAGTGTGGAGGATACTGGAACCTGTTTATCTGGTAGGTCTCCTATTCTACCATCTTCACTCTCAGCTATATTCAGATCAATGTCAAGACATCCATGTCGCTGCTTTGAACTGCTACTGCTTTCCCCCGTGGAAAGATCCTTATCACCTTCAGGCATCCGGCGAGGTGATGCTGGACGGAAAACCCTGGTTGTAGCTGAACCTCTCCATCCAAATTTCCCCTCAAATTGAAATGGAGCAACAGGCAATCCAGGAGCCGCTGTCGCCCTTGAAGCAGAAAAAATAGAGACAGCAGTAGAAATTTGATTCACAGGGGGATCCGTATCTTCTGAATGAACTTGATTCAGATCGATATTGCATAGGCCTCTTGCCATATTGGCTTCTTCTTGAGCAACCTCAGTGACCTGAGATGTTTCAACATCTTGTGCATCATTTATTGGCTCAGCATCAAGGTTTTCACTACTAGTTGCAGACTCCTCCAGCATCAGCGAAGCTTCAGTAGACAGATCTGGGTAGTGGGCCACCTCAGGTGAGCCTTTGCTGGCATGGGATCCTTTTTTGCTTAAGAAGTCAGGTCTATCTGGCACCTGCAATTTACCTTCTGGTGCTTTCTCAGAAGAACTGCAACTTTGTTCTCTATAATCTACAAGTTCTCTCTCCACTTCTATGGCCACTTGCCGAGCAACTTCTAATGGATCTAGAATCTCATAGTCTGATTCAACAATAGATTTCTTGTTGGTCATATCAGGTTCTCGACGACCAATGTTTTTCCCAAAATCATAATCCTTTGCCCGAGCATCGTCACTTCCATCAATATCAAGCTGGTCAATCTTGTTAATCCCTCCCTCATCTTCAATCTTCAACGAAAATGCACTTGAATTCTTGGAATTTTCCCAGCTTTGCTCACTGGTGGACGAGTTCTGTAATACAGTGTCAATTTCAGCATTCTCTTCAGTTCTTTGTGCACTTGGGCTTCTGCATTGAAGTGAACACTCACCATCATCAACTGCATCCTTTCCTTCAGAGTCAGTTGGCCTCACATCAACAGAAGATGAACTTTTCTGGCAAGAAACTTTCTCCATAGAACCTGACAGTTTCAGTAAGCTAGACTCTATTGCAGAACTTGACGCATCTGCAGCTTCAGAAGTTGAAGAAAAAGGTTGATCTCCTAACAGCTTAAATTCATCAGATAAGCAAACTTTCTCGGGAGAACTTTCATTCTGTTTAGTCTGCATTATATCATGAGCCGACTCCAACTCATTCAAATCTGTCTCCTCATCATGAAAACCTTGTCTTGCAACCGCTGGACTGCATGAATCAACTGAGGCAGTACCTACAGGATGACATGCAAGAGGCTCCACCTTAATGAAGCCATTTTCATTAGCAGACTTCGAGGAAGAAGGAAAGTCGACAAGATCTGAAGTTCTATCATTCACAACTGGGTGGTCCAAAATTCTGTCAAAAGTTTGTGCACTTTCAACATGGTCAGGTTCAAGAGCATTTAAACTTGTAGGTGGCATTGGGTGATTTTTGGTTGATTGCTGACACTTTTCTTCACCAGCATTATCTCTTGGAATAAGAGCACCTCCAAAAGAAGATTCTGAGTGTCTACTATCTTTCTCAATATCGGCTAGTCGCGTGTCATTATCTGCCGAAGGCCCAATTCTTTCAGTAGTCACAGAAGATGCATTGCTAACTCTATCTTTTTCCCAGCTATCCAACAGAGCTCGAGCTCTATCCAGTACCTTGGAACTATTATGGCCAAGAAGATCCTTCACAGTAGTACAGATTTTTGAAGAAACCAATTTCTCATTATCTACATGCAGCTTTTCAAGTGCTCGCAGTAAATGAGAAATTGACTCTTCCATAAAGCTCTCACCTGATTCACTGCTGAACTTCTGGGCATCCTTCAACCATATATCAATAAACTGGAGCCCATCTAACTGAACAAAAAGATCGAGACAGTCCTTGTTCTCAGTGGCAGCTAAAGTTCTTGCAACTGCAGACCACTGCTTTGTTGCATCATCAACATTCATTATACAATCTCTATCTTTCTGCATGACAGCCACAAGTTCCCTGACTCGAGAAGGGGTTGTAAGCCCATCATTCATCTCAGTCAAGGTGAAGAAATCGCCAGGTGACATAATTTCTCAAGACTTAGAAGTCCAGCAAGCTATTTCATTTCCCTGCATCTCACTTGGGAATCCACTGCAAAACATGATACTAAGTAAAGGTTATAAACATAGTTATTCTGGAATCTTAACAACCAATTCAAGAAATTTTTTGATTCAAGCCAAGGACAGAAGAAAAATGGAGCAAAAACAATACAAATAATACTTTATGGGTATCTGGCTCTCTCTCTTGCTCTTGCTATCTGAGTGGTGGGTGCCTGGAAGTATCAACTACCAGACGAAAAGCAACTAAATTAAAGGTTGAGAAAGTGCTAAACAGTTATTAGTAGTGGTGGCAAATGTATATAATCTTGAGATGTAGAATACGTAGTGTCGTTTGGTGCAGCCATGAAGGGTTGAGACCTGAAACGGGGCTGATATGGGTGACAATAAGAGATACGTGGTTGACCGGTTGTTTGGGGCATATGGAGATTATGAGATGGCTTGATACCAAGAGAAGGAAGAAAAGATTCAATTAAGTTTTTTATTTGATAGCCAATTTTTTTGTCCAGGAACAAGTTCTTCTGTGTCACTTTCCGTTAATGCAAATAGCCCCTTATACATTTTGTAGCAGTAAGCATAAAAGAGGCAGAAGAAACGAGATCAAAAAGTTGAACACCCAAACAAAAATCATTGGAAGCTCATTAGCTATCAAGACATATTTGTTTATGTCCTTATTATCAGGATTTCAAATGAACTGAATGTGTCCGTGTTTAGTGCATGACTGAGTAAGCTACTGTGCAGTACAAAAATGGATGTTGGTCGAATAAGCTAGAATGGTTAAAGAACCAAACTTAAGGTGCTTATTTTATGCTAAACAGAGGCAGATTAGAATTGATCAATTTTATTCTTCTCAATTATCTTCTTAATATATATATATATTTTTTTTTTGGTTAAGTGAAAATGCAATACACTGAAAGCTTGAATCGATGCAACTTATAGCAAGAGGTGACTACTGGCCAAAGATATGGACTATATTTTGCAAATACTAAAAGGCTAAATCACACTATAGACCTTCAAATTTCAAGCAAATAGTCTCATTTAAGTTCCTAAAGTTCCAATTTCAACTTATTTGTAACAGATACCGTGTTTTTCACAATATGGTTCAATTTTGTCATCTCTTTATGGACAGATAGAAATACTCATGAGTAGAGAATCAGTGCGCATGTGCGTGAGAGCATAAATAAACTTGGAGGGCTTGCATTTTATTCCTCAGGAAAAGATTCGCGCTTGAGAAGATGAAACAAGCACTGGAAGTCTTCTATAACATGAATAAATACAAGCTCTTGTATTTTTAGATTAATGGCCTCACACACATGCACAAATTGACTACTCATGGGTATTTCCATCCATTCATCAACAGAGTGTAACAAATTGAACATGGGAAAAACCAAAACGTTAGATACTAATAAGTTGACAAAAAAATTAAGCAACATAGTGAAACATTTTGGATCTTTAGGGGCTAAAATGTGATTGAAAGAGGGAACACAGAATACCCACAGCAAAACTAGAAGCATTATCTGTAGATTTTCAAGTTTCATATTTGCAACATGGCAAGGATGTCATTGATATCAAGCATTTTAAAGTGACTTATCTTCATATCTCAATATTGTTGATATTGGAGTAGAATATGACCGACTGAACAAACAGTGCTAAAAAATCCATATTGAGAAGCATTAAAATTGTGCTCAATCTCAATGTCTTGACTGCACTGACATTGGAATAAACCCTCTGAATTATTTCTGACCAAGTTTTCTTGGAAAGACAGGCTAAAGAACATACAATTCATTATGAACAGTCCAAAGGTTAACTGTAATTGTGTAGGAATAAGCCTATGTTTGGCTCACGTCTATAAACTGTTTATAAACACTAAAACAACTTTTTATCCATACATCTGAAGGGACCACAAGTACTATCCACTTAATTAACTCTCATCTTTATCTATTTATAATTTAAACCATTTATTAACACTTCTCAAAGGAGCTAGAAAACTTTTGGAACAAAGGGTGATTAAAAAGATACAAGAAGATAAAGATTTTGCACCATGGTTTTTTGAAACAAAGAATATAGTATCATTTTGATTTAAAATTTACATTTGCTTAAGGTATAACCACCATAATGAAGTACTGCTATCAATTACAAACAATTTATTACGAGAAGTCCAAATGTTAACTGTACTTGTGTAGGAATAAACCTAAGTTTGGGTTTTGCTCATGTTTATAAACTATTTATAAACACTCAAGCCACTTTTTATCCACCTAGAACCCAAAGGTACTATCCACCTCACATTTTTTATCTATTTACAATTCCAAAACATGCTTTAAGACTTTTGGAACAAAGGATGCTAAAAAAGATACAAACAAGATTAAGATTCTGCACCATGGGTGGATGGAGAATTTTTTGAGACAAGGATGCAGTATAATTTTAATTTTGAATCAAAATTTATATTTGCTTAAGGTATAACCACCTTCATGAGGAAATGCTATCAATTACTTGTTTCCTCACACCCAAAAACTTCAAATACCCATTGCCTACTTCTAAAACCAACGTGCAAGATCATCTCATACAATTGATCTCCAAATTCAAGATTGTAGAAATAAGCTGATAAGTACATAGCAACAATTTGAAGTCATATATAGCAGTGAAGAGGCATAATAGCAAACTAAAATGTATCAATGTGTAAGCTTTTGAATCGCTCAATACCACAGACTTTTGATGCAGCACAATATAGTAAACACAAGAATCGGAAGTTAGGGAAGGAGAGAAGGGGAATGTTTCACTTTGGTGACGTCCCCCTTTTTGAGAAAGGAGAACAAGAACAAAATAAACTAGAAAGTATAAAATTGCAAAAAAGAGATTTTATTTTTTAACTCTTTCATTCCTATATACCTGTTTTATTTAGAGAGATAGGATTCTTGTCATGATGCATGAACTAATGAATGCCTAATTCTTTTATGTAATGGAAAATGATAGGTTGAAATAGCTACGGGATAGTCCTCCAAGAAGTCTTTTTCATTCAAGGATGAAGTTATTAATAAAAAGGGGGACAAAAGAAAGAATAGAGCAAGGGAGAAAAAGAAAGAAGAATTGGAAGAGAATATTTCAATGATCTTTGTATTTAATATTCAATTACAGAGAAAATCCTACACGTGCTAATAGTTGAAAATTTGAAATCCCTAGTAAACAAGGAAAGCTACCAAAATAATACAGCTGAAAGATCAGCATAACAAAAATAAAACAAGATCATAATTATTAATACTATCATATTATGGCATCACATTGTTGCAGAGAATAAAAAAAATCAGCAGCTCTATGTCTAGATTTCTGTACAAGCAAGGAACAGAAATGATGTGTGCACTCACTTCCAAAGGTGCATGTATCCCATCTGTATGTGGTGATCTCACTTGTACATTATCATTTGGGTATCAATGGAGGGGGAGGAGGGCGCAGGCAAAGCAAAACAATAAAGATGAAGATGCAGACAAGTGTATTTTCACTCAGAAACAGGGTAACACACAAGAAGTGACGCGTACAAATAATGGCTATGAATGATAGATTCCTATAACCATTTGCCCGTTAGGAGGAACAAACTATCAAATCTTATGCCCAATAGTGTAAAAGATGCACTTCAACCAAGGATTAATACACATTAATATCTCACACGAGTGAAAGTTCCCTATGGTTCAAAGTCTACTACTCATCCAACCTGAAAATTTAAATGCATCTTAAATTTCAGCCTCTTGATTACCTCTATAATCAAAAATTGAAAATAATACTATATAAGTTGACTTTCCTCATTTTCTTGTTCCAATTATATAGTCTCGTTTCTTCATTGAAAATGTTTTGTTTTGTTCATTTACTAATATAAACTTATTTAATTTGTCTAATGATATCCAATTTTTCCCACTTAATCTTGAAATTGTACAAATATAAATAAGGAAAAACTAGAAAAAATTTGGCAAAAAATTACTTTTTCAATAACATTAAATAAGATTTCTTAATCCGTGTGAAAAATAAAACAAACCTATATAAATAGGAAGGAGGAAGCATGCTTTATTCAGTTAGAAACAAAAGTTACGCAAGTCAATTACTGAATATAGTGCAACAACCTTTCAATCTAATCAACAATTAGGATTAAAACTTAAAGACCATATACTACAGTGATCAATGACCAGGCAACCATAATACAACCAAACTAGAATTATTCAGTAGTCTTAAAAGTTAACCAGCATTAATTTACCTTGTTGACCAATATCCAATGAGCAGGGAACCATATAAAAATGTATTGTTCCAAGATGAATAACCAAAAGGGACTCAATTTGAACCCTGAAACAGAAAGGAAATTCACAAGAAAATGTAATTAATTACCCGATTCACGTAGTGAAATAGTAAAAAGATCAACGCAAGATTGAATTACACTTGGCCCAAGTAGAGGAAAAAACACCAAAGTAAAAAACGGCAAAACCAAAAGAGCAAATCTAGGTTCTCCGTAAACCAAAAAATCAAATAAACTAAAAAATTTACCAGGCATATCATGGAAAATGTGTGAAAATCTGAACTTTAACGGAACAGGTAATTAATGCAGCAAGTAGCAAATAAAAATCGCTTCCAACAATAACTCAGCAGAAATTATTAAAAACATTTAAAACTTAAAGTAAAATAAAAGCATATTTACCTCTTTCTAAAATTCGGAAAACAACCTTGAATCCAAGCTCCAGCTCTTAATTTAAACCCAAAAAATTACAACAATTAAGAAAAAATTTCGAATTTTCTCGCTTTCTCTCTTTACCAGAGACCCCTGACTCTGTCTTTTGGAAGTCTTGAACGTTTCTTCTTCCCGTCGCTGAGTTTTCCTTTTTGACTAGTCTGAAATTTTATTATTTTCAATATTTTTCTTTGAAGGTTTGCTTGTTTGGTCCGTTTTACTTTTAGTTCACAATTAGGTACGTACGTGCCACGCGTGTGAGTCGCCAGAGACATTCTAGATTACGCGGGCCGGCCCCGCCATGCTAAAGGCCCGGGTGGCTGTGTCCTGTCTCAAATACTTGGATCCGATAACCCGTAATTTGACCAAGTTTTATGGTCAGAATTATTTATTATCAATGGTCAAATTTAATTAGGTCAACAAGGTTGGGATATATTTTCAATAAATTCTAAAAATTCATCTGAATTTTCCACATTTGTTCAGGACACTACAATTTTGTATGTACAAGACTACACATGAATGGGATTTTGTGAAAAAATTTCTAACATTTCATTAATATTACTAAAAAGGTTTCCTCTTAGAAAAAGCAATATTTTCATATAATATTTATATTTAGTTTCTAGAGTGAGTGCTAAATTAAGAGGAACGTCAATTAAAAAAAAAAAAAAAATCTCATGTAATTTCAAAATTTTTATATTACTTTTTCAACATTTTTATCCATTTACTTGTGTGTTTACATCATCAACAAATCAAAAAACATCTTAGTATGCGAAAAGAACATGGATAAACAAAGGACTTACTTGATTGGAAATATAATCAATCAATGAAGCTTATTAACTATCACTCTTAGATTTTTTATTCAACAATCTCAATCAGTTAATTGAGCAAAATCAGCACATAGAGTCAGAGCAGCGAACAAAAGAATACGTGAAATCGAAGACACGAGAAGCTAGTTCGTGGACCACTGTATTCTTGGCACGAGGAATATAACAATAAGGATCATTACCAACTTCTTTTATTAGATTAGACACATCACTCAAAGCCCAGATTTGGAGAAGAAAATGAGACGAAAGATCCTGGAAGGCACATATGGTGTCACATTTCACCTAGGTCAACTGGTAGTCACGCTTTTGAGCAAAGCGCAAACTGTTCCAGATAGTCCGAAGCCCAGCATTATCAACAGGGAAGAAGTGCACCACATGCATAGCAAAATGTACAATCATCAATCCTATATGGTCACGAATCATCCCCACACTTCCACACTCCTTATCGATTCACCCTTTTACTCCTTTATCTGGCAGTAAGCTTAACATGGTAACAAAAGGCTCATTAGGATGAATTTCTCTATTTTGATTAGTAGACCATACATAACATGTACGTGGTTGTTGCACATATTGTCATCGTGACACGATTGAATCTCGAGACTAACAATTAGTTAAACCTATTTCAACAATGTTAGGACCTTCCTCTTGCTGCTCACGCTGATTCCCGGGCTCAGTTAACCATTAAAACCGAGTTTCAACATCAAACTGGAAGAACCCATACCGCCGGCTACTCTTCTTCCTATGGTTGCTTTCTTCTCTTGCTTAATTGATTCAATCCACACACTTAGGATGGATACCACTCAGGTAAGGTTCACAAAGACTCAAGCAGTTTGGGTGGAGAAGAAATCACGAAGGAGATGAAGGCATAAGACACGGCTGGACACGGCAGTTTCTTCTTCCTCACGGCTTCAATTTTGGACGGTTCCAACAAAGGCAAAGGCACCAATATATATAGTAAGTCAAGTGGCCAACATAAGGTTCTCTATTTTGATTAGTAGACCATACATAACATGTACGTGGTTGTTGCACATATTGTCATCGTGACACGATTGAATCTCGAGACTAACAATTAGTTAAACCTATTTCAACAAGATCTTACATAACTCAAACACTTAAAAATTTTACAGAGAAATTTTGGACCAAGTACAACGTGGTCGATTTTATCTCATAAATAGACACATCATAAACAAGTAAATATAATGATGAATAGAATATCAAATTCACAAGGATTGAGTATCTTATTACTAAAGTGCGATTTCACTTGTTAGTCCACTAAAAAGCATTGAAGTACATGTAAAATATGCCAACATATAGCTTGAAATGAAGTTTTCAATTTGGCTTATCCAGTGTTTTGCCAAATTGAACTCTTGATCCTTAGCAAACAAACATTACTCCTACAGCAACAACAAAATACATTTTCCTTCTCCATTTTAGGCCCTTCCAAGTTGACAGGCCAAGCCAAGAAGTTATTACACTACATTACACACTAATCTTTCACCCAAATTTCCAGATTCTTCAAAGCCATTTCATAGACTAAGCAGGTTTGGGGCAGATTGTGGAGGATTAGTAAGCATGTGAACAACTTCCCTCATCGTTGGCCTGGCCACGCTCTCATCCTCCACACACAGCTTTGCAATCTTGAACAAGTTTATCACACTGATTAGAGGATAGCCGACGAGCCTAGAATCCACTACTGCTAGTACCGAGGCAGCATCTGAAGGTTGAGAGAGCTCTGATATTGTTTTCCTCACCCACCTCACTATGTCGACACCATCCCCAAACTCCCCCACCGGCTTTCGTCCAGTGATCAGTTCTAACATCACCACCCCAAAACTGTAGACATCACTCTTCTGGTCCACTTTGAGCGTGTAGGCATATTCTGTTGCATTTCAAACAAAAGAACACAACTCATTAAAACATAATTAATAGAGTAATCATAGCGAATCCGATTCATTCAAGTCTTATTACAAGTCCAGCATAACAAAATTAATAAATGACCTAGACATTGTTAGAAATCCAGAAGAATAGCAATGCAATAAACTGTAGAGAAGCAAAAGTTTTAGTTCAGAAAGAACTCACCTGGTGCAATGTAGCCATAGGAGCCAGCAATTGAGGACATGCATTCGGATGCACCAGAGTCATGCAAGAACTTTGCCAGTCCGAAATCGGCCACATGAGCTTCATAATCTGAGTCGAGTAGAATATTATTCGATTTCACGTCTCGGTGAATAATCGAAGGAGAACAATCATGGTGCAAATAACATAACCCCTTTGCTGATCCTACTGCAATCCTGTACCGCGATTCCCACTGTAAATGACCTCCTTTGGCACTATGCAGCATCTCACCTAAGCTTCCATGGGACATGTATTCATAAAGCAATATATTATTCTCGTTGTTAGACACATACCCCAGAAGCCTTACTATGTTCCGGTGCCTGATTCTCCCTAATGTCTGAATTTCAGCCATAAATCCATGATCAGTTCGACTACTCCCACGGCATGTTAATCGTTTTATCGCAATGTCAAAGCCATTTGGCATGGACCCTCTGTAGACAATCCCAGCTCCACCTTTCCCGATTATGTTCTCGTCTTGTATGCATTCAATTACGTCGCCCACTTTGAACTCTAGCCTCTGGAATGCTGTGAGTTTCCAGGATCTTGACTTCTTGAGCTTTCTCTTTCTAATTGTGATAAAGGTAACAGCCATTAGTAATAAAACAAAGACTACTATGATTACAACGATCAAGACATTTGATTCCCTCGAACGCCTTTTATGCGAGTCTTGTAATGAACTCGGAGCAGTGGAACAAAATGTACTCTGAAGTGCACATAGATTAGGATTTCCGGCCAAAAACAGATCATCGAGATCTCTAAACAGCCCGTTTGTCGGTCTTCTGCCTGAAAAATCATTGTAAGAAAGATCTAAAATTGTTAGACTTTTCATTAGTCCAATTGAACCTGGAATTACGCCAGTAAGTTCATTCCTGGACAGGTTGAGAACATTCAAATTCTGCAGTTCAGAAATCTCCTTAGGAATCACAGAGTCTAAATTGTTTCGACTTAGATCAATGAAAGTCAAGTGGGAACAACGAGAAATGGAAGCTGGAATTTTGCCTGTCAAGCCGTTGCCACTGAAATTCAACTCCGAAAGTTTTTTAAGACTGAAAATTTCTTCCGGGATTTCGCCAGAGAACTTGTTCGAGTCAAGGAACAAATTCTCAAGATTCATCAGATTCCCAATTGCAGGAGGAATTCTCCCCGTAATCCAATTATTCGACAGAGCAAGACTTCCGAGAGTAATCGCCGAAATCTCCTCCGGCAGCTTTCCAGTGAAGAAATTATCATTTAGCTCAAGCATATCCAACCGCGGCAAATTGAAAAATCCCGCCGGAATTGTTCCGTTTAAGTAATTCTTCTTTATTCTGATCCGAGTCAAGGACTTGCACTCACCCAACTCATCAGGAATCGGACCATAGAAATAATTATCCATTAAAATTAACGTCTTCAGCCTTCCTCCTTTACACAAGTCCTTTGGGATAGTTCCAGTTAGGCGATTCTGCGTAACATCCAGCAGCATTAACCTCTCGTTCCGGCCAAGATTTTTCGGCAGTCCCAGAGTGAAATTGTTATTCCATATCTGTAAAACTTCAAGATTAGGCAGGTCCCCAATGAACACCGGAAGAGGACCCTGCAATTTGTTCTGAAACAAATTAAGCAGAGTCAAGTTCTTCAATTCAGCAAAACTTTCTGGTATCTCGCCAGTAAGAAGATTAATGGAAAGGTCCAGTGACATCAGACTGACCAACCCCGAAAGCGCCGGGGGAATATGGCCAGTAAGGTTGTTTAACTGAAGAAACAAAGTATGCAATTGCTTGAGATTCCCAAGAGTCGCCGGAACTTCACCAGTGAGATTACAGTTTCCAAGATCAAGTAATCGGAGAGTGGCAATGGAGCCAAACTCCGGCGGAACGCCACCTTCATAACGATTAAAGTACCCCAAAGAAAGCTCCTGAAGGTTCGGAATGTTAGCCAGGGAGGCTGGAATTTTTCCTCCCAAGCTGTTGCCTTGTAACGCCAACACCGTCAAGCTTTCGAACTCGGAGTAAATTTCAGGAATTTCCCCGGAAAAATAATTCCCCCCGAGATTAAGAAATTTCAGGTTCTTCAACTTGACCAACTCCACTGGGAGATTTCCACTGAAATTATTGTTGTACACGTCCAAAACTTCGAGCTCCGTCATTTTAAGAACAAGTTCTCCTGGAAACGTCCCACTGAAGAGGTTCCATGAGATATTCATGTACTTCAAGTTCATTAATCTAGAAACTTCCACTGGAATGGATCCAGTGATATTGTTACCATATAGAGTGAGATTAACAAGTTCACTCAGCAGCCCAATCTCCGGTGGCAGGGTCCCCAAAAGCGGGACGTTGGTGACATTGAGAGATATCACCCTGAAATCTTCGTTGCAAGTCACGCCGGAAAATGTGCAGTGCACTGAAGGAGAAGACGACGGCGTTGCAACCCAGTCATCAAGAACCGACTCGTTAACTCCGACCGTGGACGATTTCAGTTTCAAAAGGGTTTCAAGATCCGATTGTGCATGAGTGATTATGCATGATGACAAGATCAAAATCAAGAAAATATGACGAAGAAGATTAAACGAAAATTTTCTCATTTTATAAGCTTTTGTGAGCGAAAGATGAGCACGAACAGAAAAATGTACGGGTGAGAGTGGAGAAGGAGGGTTTTTAAAGACCATTAAAAAGGAATCGAAGGGTCTAAAAGAACCACTGAAATAAACAAAGTGAAAATTCATCCTTTTCCGTTAAGAGACCGTTCTTCTGTAATTCCCCGCTGTATACTATGACTCTACAACCGCCGTTAATATATTGACGGGGTTAAATGGCAGTTTGAATGATAGGTTTTATGATAATGTTGACTCTCAGACCCTGCCAGCTCTACTTCTGACAGTGGTGGCGCCAATTTGATATGATCCATTGTCGTTTTAAAAGATTCAAATATCAATACGACATGGTACACTTCTGATTGTGGGCCTTTTTGGACTTTTTGGGCTTTTCCTAGAGACGATTTTTAGCAAATGGGAGGCCTTTGGGGCCCATATAGATTAAAGGCTGAAAGTGTCTTTTCCCAAACGGAAATGTTTGTACCCTGTGACGCTAAGTTGATTTTAAGCGTAAAGTCTACTCCTCTTTTTGTTGTATCGAAACGGTCCCTGTCCATTTTCTTCATGCGGCCATTCGTCAATCAAGTCATAAGCATCGTTTGTCCTTTGTCACAAGTAGAAACAAAATCCCGTCGGTCACATATGATGCCGTGTTCGATACAACATTTTTACGATCATTTTTTGATAAGTTATTTTGTTTGACAATAAAGTACGATTCTTTCACAATGAATAATTTTTTTTAAGAAAACGGGAGAAAAGTGAGATATTTGAAAACAAAGATACATATAATTCCAAACATGCTTTGTTTAATTTGTTGATCAAATACAATTTAAATTAATCGAGCATTTCTTTCTCATTGTTGTCAACCTCCTTTAAATATGAATCTATCTCCCTTTCTAATTTTTAATTATTACTATTCTTGGTCATAAAATGAAAGATGGGGGATTACTTTTCTTATGGGTTGATTGAAAATTGAGTGATGGGTAGACAAATTTTGTGATACTTCGCTCAATTCAGATAAAATATCGGAAATAGGGAAAAAAAACATGTCAATCCTAAAGATCTCGGCAAAAATGAACTAAATAGCATATGTAGTAAATCTTTCTACTTGACAAATATGAACATACAAGCTTTTGTTCGTAAAATTTATGAAGAATATCGCTTAATGTGTTGACGATAGTGCATTATGGATTCGAGAGTGGACTTCTCCTATTAAAATATCAATGGATACTATCACGTTTTACAGAATTTCAACTGTTTCATAAAGTAGCTTTTTTTCACATTTTTTAGCTAAGTACTTAATGGGACATAAAGTAGATTATTGAAGAGAATTTGGAAGCCGCAGAAGTTGTGACCAAAAAGAAAGAATTTATTCCCTAACCTCAACATTTTTCCACTACATGAGAGAACAAATTCATATTCCCAATTAAACTGCAAGTGGAGTAATTTTCAATATAAACCGAATCCAGGAAGGAGATGTGAAGAATAAAGAGGATTGTTTTTCCAGTGTAATTTCCACTTTGGATGATTAATATAGTTTTTTTCATTTGTGGAAAGAGTCTCTGCCTAACTCTTCTTCCCTTTCGTTGTTAGGCAGTACGTTGGATAACTAGTAATTACGTGTCTGTGCTTTTGAGTTTGATACTCACATGTAATGGTATAAACGAAGTCATATTCCATAAGTTTAAAAATGTTATTGATTTTTCAAAAAGATCATATACCACCAACTTTTTTGGTGACAACCACGTCTCAATATTCTTATTGTAGGTAGAATGTTGTTGACATTCACAATTAGTTTCTTATCGATTATTACATATTTGACGCTTGTACAGCCTCCTCACAAGAGGGGGTCCGTGATTTTTTTATTGGACGTGATCCCCTCTCTCTTGTGACAGGTCTGTACACTGAGCTATCAAGCTGACAGCTCAGTGTAGAAAACATCAAAACTCATGGAACTGAGTAGGTAGTCAATTAAACATGTCCCAAACATGCAAGAAGTCAATAATTGATTGATTTCTCAACGTGAAATAATTGGTAGTGATATTATAAAAAGGCCCGTCTTTCATTATATTTTAGACTATTTTACCCTCATTGTGAGGAATTCATGTCATAAGCTACTATTCCTCTTTTGTAATTTTGTACTTTTATCATGAATCCAATTACTTGTATAAATAATCGGTAAAATAATATTAAAGAATATTTTTATACCTTTAGGTCACTTTTGGCACATTATACTGGTTAAATAGTTAACATTGAAGAAGGTGTTTAACATTTAACTATTTTCCAGTCTAATATATCCAACATATACGTATAATGCGTAACATCTTATTCATAAACATTCGCAAAAATATTATTGTTTTGAATGCAAAAAACTAACATTAACATTGTTCAATGAACTTCTTTTGTACTTTTAGACATTCAATCGTAGTCTAGTATGATATGGATACATATAACGATGATCATCTAAATTCTAGAGCCTATGAATAAAAAGATTTAGGTGGAATAAGTTTGACCTTGTCAATTGATAGTGAAGGAACAATATATTGCTACTAGGTGAGGCAACAAGAATGTTACACTTTAGATGGCGAAGGTTCATTAGCCTAAAGTGTTACAATTTTACGCGCTGATTCAAATTAGTAACATAGGAACAAGAGCCCATTTACACTACATAAAATACTAATATCACAAGATTCGAATAAAAAATGAACAATTTAGTTTGCAACAACGTTACAGAAACAGACTCGAAAAAGGTAAAAAAAAAAAGAATCTTGCTACATGTACATTATAAAGGGTGTTTGATATCCATTTTTATGGAAAATGAATTTTAGAATAGTAGATTGATAGAAAATATGTGAATGAAAAATAAGGAAATTTTTTTGATTTGCGTATAATATTATTTTAATGAAGAATGTGTGGTTAAAAAGAAGATAGAGAAAAATATATTTTGATAAAAATGAGAATCAAACGGGATCATGGTGTATACTTTGTCACGTGACATTATTATATTGAACAGTTTAAATTTCAAATAAATTTTTCATCTAATTAACACTTGACACGAATATAAATGTAAAAAAACAGTATACAAATAGTAAAACTTTTATTTTTTATCATGTCTGACTGATTTTATTCTTTAGTTTGTTTCATGAATAAGAGCCTGTTTAGGAGTGATTTTGAGAATTGATTTTTTGATCGTTAGGAGAAAAGTGGGGTCTATCTGTGAGAAAAAAGTTAAATATGACGATTGAAATAGTGAAATAACAATCAAAAAATCATTTTTTGAACCAAAAAATCACTTCCAAACTGGCTGTAAATTTTATGCTTTGTAGAGCCAACTGGCCCAACTCCGTGTTCACGTTCTATAGGTAGTGCATGGATCTATCAGAAACTCACGTATTTTCAAGAGCATGATTATTTTCACGTAGATTTTAGATACTTATAGAGAATAGAGTAATAATGACCTACTTTTACTGAATTTGGGCAAAAGTTATTAGCCTTTCAGCCTGTGTTTAATGGACTGAGAGTGACGAATGATGGTGATGGACAGGACGGCTGCCTGAGTAAGCCCGCATTCCGATGTTAATCCGTTGGCATCCCAATGATGATAGTGAAGAAGAATCTTTCACTTGCATTATTTTTCAAACAATTCAATTAGTGACTATGTTAATTTATTGGTCCAAAAGTTTCTGAATTGCTTCAAGTTATTTATGGCAAGAGGTGAAAATCGGGCTCGTCAATTCGAATTGTCCGTGATTCGATTCAAAAAAAATTTGAGCCCAGCCGGCTTGTAATTCGAGAGAATTGAGTCCAGGCTCAGGCAAACCCCATTTTGAGGTATCGGACAAAGCCCGAGCCGACCCGTGTGGCTTGTCGGCTCGGGCTCATGAGCCTATATTTATATAAAAAAAAAAAAATTAAAGGCAGTAGGTTGTTGCTGCTGCCTTGAAAAAAGGCAGTAGAAGCTACCCTTTTCATATTAAAAAAAAATACAAAAACCAAAAAAAGAAAAAATCAAGCATGTCGGCTCGGCTCTGAAAGGTCTGAATCGAAAGTTTGGGTCGAACCGAATTTTTTTGCTTAACAAAAGCTCAGGCCCGAAAAAAAATTCGATCATTTTATTTGAGCCTCGAATTTTGGCTAGCAAGCATACTCGACTAAGTTCATTGACATCCCTATTTATGGCTAGTGCTATTTTGTGCCTCTTGATTGTATCATTGTGTGATTTGTGACTGTTGCTTGATTGTGATTAAAAAAAAAAAATTTATGTTATTGTGATTGTATCCTAATTAGTTAAATTATATGTCACAAGATTTTGATTTGGAGTCACAAAATGTGGTTGCCTAATTTTTGAAAAAAAATCTACGAGTATGTAATTTTTCCTTTTGAATTAGTCTATGACCTTGTTTGGGAGTGATTTTGAAAATTGATTTTTTAACTGTTAGGAGAAAAGTGGAATCCACCTGTGAAAGAAGAAGTCAAATATGACGGCTTGAATAATGAAATAACGGTCAAAAAATCAATTTTTTAGGGAGAAATATCACTCCCAAACAGACTCTACGTGAGTTTTTTTTTAAACAAATCAAGTTTTTTAATTTTTGTTTGCTATGAATCATATAAATAAGTTGATAATTGTCTAATTGATTAATGTAAGTTGCATTGCTTATACATGAGATGAATACCATTATATATTAGAGATTACATCATTTTGATGGAATGTTTTATTCGTTGGTAGAGTCGACAACTTACGATAATTACTACTTTCTTAATTTATGTTCTCCTAAGTCTTTCAAGGGCTATTAGGAGTGTTAACTTGGTTAAGAAACACGTAAAATGTTATTAAAACGGATTTACAATTAACAGATTTGATTATAAAAATTGTTTTATTAGAATTTCAGATATCATGAAATAAACTCCTTTTCAATTACAAACGAAAACTAATATTACCGTATTTTCAAAACTATAATGATTTATGAATTTTCAGACAAAAAGCTCTCATCCCTACAAAATCTCAATCAAAATAATAAGTATTGTCAAAGAAAACCTAGAACTTTGTGTAGTTCGGACAACAAGATTGGGTGAGCTGTTTTTGTTAACTTTATGATCAAATTTGTTAACTGTAAATCCGTTTTAATAACATTTAACACTCC